CTAGCCTGCTGTGGGATCCTCGTGGCTTCTCTGATCACCAATCAAAGGCTGCCTGGTTCTCCAATCCAGGGCCGGGGGGCAGGGCCGCCTTTGCCCTTCCTCCCCGCTCTTGCCTGCTGCCTGGGTTTCCAATCACCCTGCTTTCCCTTTCGCCTCCCTGCATTGTGCTTACATATGCAAATTAACCGCCATCTTGTTGGCAGTTAATTTGCATATAGCCCTGATTAGCCAATGAAAAGGGTAGTGTCGTATGCCAATTACCATTTTTCTCTTTTATTAGTGTAGATTGAACACTTACAAGAAAAATTAGATAAAGAGAAAACAAGTAGCATCTCAAATGGAGGAAGGACTGAGATTAAAAGGTAAAATGTATTCCATCAAATCCTCCGTATTTGCAAGACAGAGCAGCACTTTTGGTTCCAAAATAGATGGTTAGGATCCCTCCTGGAAGTCACTTCTAAGCCCTCCCTTTCTTTTGTGTAGCCTATAATACACTGTAAATTTCTACCAGCTCCTTGTTGTCCTCTGGATCTTCCCCCTCTAACCTTCACCCCCCCTTTTCTACCCTCTTTGCTTAGCTAACTTCTGCTAATCCTTCAATGAAACCTTCCTTGATGATTTTTAGATGGGTTCAGATGACCCCAATACTTGATTCCACAGGGTCTAGGCTCCATGGAGTAGCTTCTAGAGAGTCCACCTACTCAATGAAGCTACTCAAATATTTGCCAAATGATGAAATAACGGAAGAATCAACACTTTTAACAACATTCTCACAGCAAGGGCAGTCAGGATGGTAGTGTAGGTAAATGGGGTACTGGCATCCTCCCACAACCACAGCAAAATTACAACTCAACTATAGAACTATCATTCAGAACTGCCTGAAATCTAGCTGAACATAGTCCTACAACTAAGGATATAAAGAAGCCACATGGAGACTGGTTGGAGGGGAGGAGATGAGAACGAGCTGGTCCCACACCCGTGTATGGTGGATAAAAATCAGGAGGGCTACCTCAGCTACAGAGAACACCCTGAGGAATGGGGGTGGGGAGGTGAGGGGTGTCCCAGCCCTCCACCAGCCCCCCAGCCAGAGTTCCAGCACCAGGAAGAGAACTCCCCAAATTTCTGGCTATCAAGCTCAGCAGGGATTGTTGCTAAGTGAAATGGAAGAAGGCTAGAGTCCTAGGTGTTCCTTTAAAAAGCCAGCACACAAACGTACTGACTCACTCATTCTGAGCTTCAGCACTGGAGAAGCAACTCCAAAGGCACCAAGGACATATGGGAAGGAACTAAATTGTCTGGCATCAGGGCAAGAGCAGGGGTGATGGTTTTCTCACAGGCAAAAGTGCTGGCAAAGGCCATTGTTCCTTTGATGAGCCCCCTGTAGACCCTCCTCCTCCTGAACTGGCAGGTAGGCACCATGTCTGGGTCTCCATCAACATGGCTAACACCATTCACCCCACCCTGGTTATTCCCTGAGACTCCATTCCACCCAAATAGCAGGCCCACCCAGCTGTTTCCAATGCATTTTCCATAAGAATGACCTGTCTTGGATCATGCTTCAGATTTTCCTAAAATCTTTCAAACAAGCAGAATCTCATGGGTGTGCCACATGCTGCTCAATAAATGGCCCCATGCCTGGCACTAGTGGCAGCTGGCTTTGGTTCACAACGTGGCCTCTGCACCTCCAAGCCCAGCACAAATAGCAGCCACCTGCAGATTGTTTTATAGCTCATGCCATGTGGCTGACTTGGCCTGCACCTCCCAGGAGGCCCCAGAGCTAGTGCACCGGGTGGATAGCTTCAGGCCATACAGAAGCAGCATCCAACCACCTCCACAAGCACACACCCAAGGGCCAGATTCAGTGGACATCAGAGCCCTGCTGAAGTTAAGTCCTACTCTGTGTGGTGGGCCCCTACACAGTTGATCCACCATGCTGGTTGCAACCAGTTCTTGCAGCTGATTGGCTTGAGAGTAAACCCCTCCCAGTGAGGTGCCCACAGCAATTAAGGTTCAACTATAAAAGGTGTACACAGCCCAAACAGGGGATTAGAGGGGGGAGTGCACCTGGAGTGCCCAGATCAGATGAACGGGGAGGCTGTGGCACTGAACCCTA